ACCAAGGCACGTCACCACCAGGTCAAACACGAGGTACTTAGCCAAAAAATTTATACATCACAAAAAATGGTACGTGACAAAAAACGGTTACATCAATTAAGTACTGACAAAAAGTAAAATATCTAATTTGCACTTCATTATTCCTCAAATTTACAAAATAAAATCCATTGAAAATTTCAAAAAAATAGGAAGTAATGTCTCCGTTTTCCATTTCCTCTCTGTCTCCAACTCCATCTCGGTATTCCATTTTCCGTCTCCATTCTGGTTTCCGTCTCTGCCTTAGTCTCCATTTTCGCCTCCGTCTCAATCTGCGTCCTTCTTGCCGGGACGGTGGTGGGGAGAAAATAATCCTTTGAACCAGTAGATCGGCTTCTGATGAAAGGAGTCTGAATTACAATAACCGATTTGAGTCAATTGATGTACATCAGCACTGCCTTTGCACCTTTCTCTCTTTTTCTGTAAATCCAACGTGCAGTGATGGAGAGGAGATTTGAGTCAATCAATGTACATCAGCACCGCCTCTGCACCTCCTCTCTTCTTCCATAAATCCAACGTGCGGTGAATAAAGAAAAGAATGACGAAAGTCAGGAAACACTAGTAATTAATGTTCTTTGGGATTGAGAGCTTTTCTGCAACTCTGGTGGCGAAATGGGAAGCCAAAACAACCGGTTTTTCTCCTTTTTCATCTTATACGTATCATGCATTATTATTTATTAATGACTTTTGGAATGTATTCAAGGATCAAAGTATTGGTATTGGATAATTTGGATACAGATAAGAATACAGATTCGTTTTTGAAATGCATGAATATGAACTAAAAATATAAAAACGCTTGGATATGTTAATGAAATGCAAATAAATCACATAAATACAACCAAAAGCTAAATTATCTTTAATAAGATATAAATACATGAAAAATGCATACTTCAATAGGTTATATGAAGAGAAATATTACAATAAACAATATTAGGACTCTAGAACATCCAAACATTGTACAATAATTATCACTCTTTCAATTTTATAATTATAAATTTCAATTTTTATTAATTTTTGAAAATATTTATTAATTTAGTATTTTATTTAAATAACAACAACTTTTTAAATAATAAATATATTTTCTTTTTTAACATATAATGTTTTTATTTTACATATAATTGTAAAATAAAACAAATAAATCATTTAAGGTAGATAAATTAAATTAGATTTAATTTTTAGTTTTCATTCAAATTTTTGGGAAAATTAAATATTAAATTATCTGTTTCAGTTTTTATAATTATATTTTTCTGTTTTTCATTAATTTTGTTGGGAAAATTTATTTATTTAGTATTTTTATATAATAACTCTATTTTTTTTCAAATAATAACTATGTTTTCATTTTAGCATATAATTATGTGTAAAATAAAATATATAAATCATCTAAGGTAGATGAAATATATTATTTTTATAATTTGTAGTTTTTATTAAATTTTTTGAGAAAACTAAATCTTAAATTATTTATTTTAGTTTATATAATATTATTTTTTAACTTGTATTAAAGATGAAAAACAATCCAAAAGTACTAAATGTACAATTTTGTCAAGTTAAACACGAATACGCCTCTATATCGATGTGTATCGGACCATATCCACTGATACGGTGCGATACGACCCGATACAGAGGCATAACCGATACACACGACTTATAGGATATGTATCCAATTGTAATGTATATTGTATCCATGATTATGGATACGGGATAGGATACACCCAGTATTGAGAATATCGTATCAATACCTTAATCTTTGGATGTTATGCAGCGTAGGAAGGAAGGGCACCCCACGAACGTCCCCACATATACGGAAGCTCAACACCAATACACGATTGCGGTATTTTGTGGGGTGCGAATTCATTCGGAATCGTCTAAAAATTGCTCAATGACATCAACCGGTATAAATGTGTGAGGGAACAGGATTTACTCTTCACAAATGGGCGCCTCACAGGCACATCCACCATGCATCAGGAACATCTTCCATGAATAATAATTAATAATTACAGCAGATGTTCATGCGTGTGAGGCGCCAAATGTGAGGAGCAGATCCGGTCTCTATAACTGTATAACAGATGACAAATCAAGATCTGTTCTTCATACAGGGTGCCTCGCAACGACGTCACAGGCACATTGTGCATTGGGAGTATAAGTACGGAAGATGTTGACAATGTACGGTGGGACGTGCCTGTGAGGCGCCTGTGTGAGGAGCAGATCCGGTCTCACAAATGACACGCAGCCACTTATCCAATTTTTTTTGTCCGACAACGATAACGACATCTGTTATACAATAAAAAGTAGCCGTTGATTTTGATCAAATAATGACGCAAGGGATCTGGACCAATCGTTTGAACTGGGAGTCTGAGTGAATGACTGAGATTCTTCTATGTTGTCGTACGCTAAGGTTGTGGTGGGACCCTTGACCCTTCCCGCCCGGCTTCCCAGTCGTCGGTCACTTCCTCTTTTCGTCTCTTTCCCAACACAAACCTCATCTCACGAAAACCTCCTCCGAAGATGCAGAAAGGAAATACCAGCACCCAGAAGAGATCATCCACCCACCAAATTTATCAATGATTCTTTCATCTTTCCTTCGTTTCTTCCTTCTCTTCTCATTCATCTCCACACTCCTCTCAGATCCTTCTTCTTCTTCTTCGTCGGTATCCATATTTCTAAGCCCCAAAACTCTATCCAAATCCGGCGACTCAGTCCGAATTCAATGGACCGGCGTCGACTCACCTTCCTCCCTCGACTGGCTCGGTATCTACTCACCCCCCGATTCATCTGACGATAATTTCATCGGCTACGTCTTCTTGTCCTCCTGCAGCAATTGGGAGTCGGGTTCGTGCTCCATCGATCTCCCTCTGGTCAATCTCCGTTCCAATTATGAGTTTCGGATCTTCCGATGGACAGAGGACGAGGTCGATCGCTCACGCCTCGATCAAGATCACAACCCTTTGCCCGGAACCAAGTATCTGTTGGCCAAATCCGAGGAATTGGAGTTCGAGACTAGTCGTGGGCCGGAGCAGATTCATTTGGCGTTCACAAGCAAGGTTGATGAAATGAGGGTCATGTTTATTACAGCGGACGGAAAGGAGAACCATGTGAAGTATGGGGAAAGAGAAAATCGGTTGAGTAAGGTGGCGGGGACGGAGGTGAGGACGTATACGCGGTCAGATTTGTGCGGTTCCCCTGCCAACGAGAGCATCGGATGGAGGGATCCTGGGTTTATTCACGATGGGATTATGAAGAATTTGAAGAGTGGAAAGAGGTATTATTACAAGGTAAAGAAGATTTTGGTTTCTCTTTATGTTGTTCCTGTGTTCTTCTCTCTCTCTCTCTCACACACACACGTACATTTTTTCTTTAAATTTTAGGTCTTCTTTGGCCGAATTTTGCATTTTTCTTTGGGTATTCAGTGTTTAAGAGTTCTAGTCTTCTAGACTTATTTGTGTTCTATTGCACCCTTTTATTTTCGTCCCTAATTACTTTTTAACGTCTCTTACTCCCTTAATCTAATTAAGTTGTCTTGGAACAAGTGAAGATCTGGTTAGACTGTTTTCTGGACTGTAGTCATCGATCTTCTCTTTACCTTTTACTTTTCCTGGTAATTGAGCTATAGCATTTCCTTCTTCTAATATAGTTTCTGATCATGTACCAATCTTGTTATGAAATGGTTGACTAAGATCTTCTTATAAGGTGCTTCATCCCTTTGTATGCTGGGTTCATTTCTCTTGATATTGGTTTCTGATGTAACGAATTCTGGTCACATATCATTTTTTGGCTAAGTACCTCGTCATCTCGTTTGCTCCCAATTGGCCGATGACTCAGAGGCTGAAGTAGAGCTCCCTAGTATAGCGCAACCCGGCATCTTCCTACAGGAGATGATCTGCTCATCTTTGTTGACGGCGGGAACTGAGGAATTTGCAAGAACTGAATCAGAGAACCCGGGGGTGTTTACCCGGCGAGGTCACTCCGATGGCTAAGTCAACACTTAGTTGTGAGCTGAAGATGATATTAGAGAGTGGGAGAGCTAGAGGGCAGAGATTACCTTCTCATCTCCTTCTCCTCCTCGCCCCTGGGGGG